GGCCCAGGTTCTCAGGTTCTGGCGGCCGTCGGGGCTGTTGCTCTGAGGCTCTGCCTTGGCGAGGGGACACGGGGCGCTGGCCGTGGCAGGGCAGGCTCCACGCAAGGACGGGGCCTCCCGCTGGCTAACCCTGCGCTTGCCCCCCAGGACCCGTACTTTATGAAGAACCACCTGGGCTCCTACGAGTGCAAGCTCTGCCTGACGCTCCACAACAACGAGGTGGGTCCGGGCTGTCCCTCCACCGGGGCCCTCCCCTCGCCGGCCCAGGCCTGCCTCGGTCTCTACTTCTGACACGCTAGAAATGCGGGAGTCTTCGTAGCCCCGCCCTCGCCCGTGCTCCGGCCGGAGGTGTGCCACGGCCCTCCGGCTCCCCACTTGTGCACCCTCGGGCCGCCCACCATGCTCAGGGCGTTTCTCCAGCTGGGCCAGGATTCGAACCGTGGTCAGCCGTGACTAAGGGATCCGGCGCCCTAACCTGGAGGCTGTGGAGCCTTTTTCTTCTTGTTCCACTTAGTTTCTACCCTAGGGCGTGTGCATTGGCTGGGGGGAAACAGAGCCCCACGCCCTGTCCATTCCCCTCCCTGGATTTCGGGCACCCACAGGCGCCCGGCGGGTTTTGAGGCCGCTGGGTCTGGACCGTGAGCTGCCCAGTCATCCCGTGGGCGCCTGCCGCCTTGCCCTCTGACACACCATCACCCGTCACCTGCACAAGGGTGGGCCTGCGAACAGCACTGTGGCCGAGCGAGGGCGTCGGGTGCTGCGCGTCAATTTCCCACAAACCACAGCCGTCCCCCATCATCAGGCGGTGGTTTCTGCCACCCTGGTTCTGGGGACTGTGGGCGTGTCCCAGGGGCTGTCGCTGAGTGCCACTCCCTGGCCTGCCCACAAGTGGAGGGGTGACATGGTTCCTGCCCGGGCCCATCCCAGCACGCTGGCACAGCCAGCCAGGCCTGCGTGCCCTGGGGTCGGGCTGAGCTGTCCTTCCTTCTAGGGGAGCTACCTGGCACACACCCAAGGCAAGAAGCACCAGACCAACCTGTGAGTACTCCCCCCCAGGGAGCCCCGGCCGGGCGGTGTGGCCTTGCAGGCTGTGGGGGGGGCCACAGTGTCCCGTCCGTTCCCTGCAGGGCCCGGCGAGCAGCCAAGGAGGCCAAGGAGGCCCCTGCCCAGCCAGCGCCCGAGAAGGTCAAGGTGGAGGTCAAGAAGTTCGTGAAGATTGGCCGCCCAGGCTACAAAGGTGAGTGTGTGGCCGGCGGGCCACAGCTGCTGCTGCACCGAGCGGGTGGCGCGACCCTGAGGCCTGTGACCCTGAGCCATGCAGTGCCATTCCTAGAGGCCCGGCCAAGGCGAGTAGGCAGCAGCCCCACCTGGCTGCCAGCCCTGTCCAGCGGGCTTCCTCGGGCTCCAGGCGAGGGTGTCCAGCCACGACAGGAGTCGTGGACACCCCTTTCCTTCCTCCTCGAGACCGGGTGCCAGCCCCCCTTCCGAGGGGAGGAGGAACAGGTCCATCGGCCGCTGCAAGGGGCCTCCATGGAGGAAGGTGGGCAGCCCTGCAGGGTGTCTGTCGTCGGAGCTGCAGTCAGAGGCTCGGGAGAGGGTGGCCAGGGCAGGCCTCTCAGGGACATGGCCCTACCGGGACCAGGCTCTGATCTCTGGGGGCTCCTGGCCTGAGCCGGCCCCAGCTGAGCCTGTGTCGACCTTGCAGTGACCAAGCAGAGGGACTCGGAGATGGGCCAGCAGAGCCTCCTCTTCCAGGTGAGCCAGGGCCCCCCAGCAGGGACGGGGGCCAGTGGATCCCCGATAGCACATGACCCTACCCGTCCCCCAGATCGACTACCCCGAGATCGCTGAGGGCATCATGCCACGCCACCGCTTCATGTCGGCCTACGAGCAGCGGATCGAGCCCCCGGACCGGCGCTGGCAGTACCTGCTGATGGCGGCCGAGCCCTACGAGACCATCGCCTTCAAGGTGAGCCATCCTCACCGCTGCGGGGGGGGAAAAAGGGTGGGGGGCAGGCTCCCTGCAGTGCTCCAGCCACGGAGACCAGGCTCTACCCTGCCGTCTGCCCCTGCCAGGTACCCAGCAGAGAAATCGACAAGGCTGAGGGCAAGTTCTGGACTCACTGGAACCGGGAAACCAAGCAGGTGAGGGGGCAGGCGGGAGGAGTCCCCGGACAGGCCCCGCCCCAGACAGGC